TTTGAACTCAGCTCCCTGACCTCCTAATGGCTTGAACTCAGTTCCATTTCACTGTGACACCTTCGAGTTGATAGGTGGATTCAGCCCATAGCTGCTTTGAGTTCTGAGCTCAGCTGGCCCCTCTCCAAGTTGGCTACTGGCAAACTGCCCACTCCTAGGGCTAGTCTGAACAGAGTAACTCACCACCCACTGCAGTCTGCTGCATCCACTGCTCTGATCCACTGGTGCGTTTCTCCGTGGAGGCCTCTGGTGTCACAGTAGTCACCGTGCATCTGCAAGTTTGAGCCACTCCTCCCATGCAGCTCAGGGAGAAAGTGCTGCCTGTCGCCTCCTCCTCCTATGTTGAGGTCTTTCTCTTTGCTCTCCCTGTGGGCTTCAGTTTTTGTTTCAGAACCTTGCTGGGTTCTGGGTTTTGGGAACCTATTTCCCTCCTTCTTATCTTCCTCGTGTTTCTATATTTCAGTGTCTGGACACCAAATCTCAGAGATCCTATTTCTCTGGTGTTCACCACTTTGCCATCTTCCCAGAAACCTTCTTGCTTCTCTTTCTTTCTCTTCAAGCTTTGTTTTAGCACCCAAATCTACGAGTTGACAAGCCACCAGTCGTTCCACATTTGAGATTTGGGATTCTGGCCCTCAAGAGAAGCAACTACGTTCAGAATTCCAAGGAAAAGATGCTGGTCTCCGCATGTCATGTAGGCACTCACTCAGGCCTGAGTGTCCACGCACAGTGAATTCAATTTTAAAAAGCCGGGGCAGGCATGGTGTGCACACCTGTAATCCCAGCACTCAGGAGGCTGAAGCAGGAGGATCGCTGTGAGTTCAAGGCCAGCCTGAACTACACAACAAAGACTGTCAGGAGGAGCAGCAGCTGCCACACCAGCCCTGACACCTGGCTCTAGGTCATTTTCTGGTCCTCTTCCCCACTCTGTGCTGTCTCCGCCACTGATAGCCAGCAGAGTGCGCTCTGGTTCCTTGTATCTTCTCATTAGACCTGGCAGGGCCACTAATGCCACGGAGAAGAGCAAGGCTGCAGGCCGAGGCCCTACCACTGCCACAGGCCTGGCAGAGGCCCAGATCCCCACTGGCCTTGTCAGGTGCAGGGACATCCCCAGCCCCTCCTTCACTGGCCAGTTTACACCCTCACTAGTGCTCAGCTCAGGGACCCCATTGTTTCGCGTGTCTTTGCCTCCTGCAGGCCCAGGAGGGGCTCCCCAATAGGACAGGAGAGCCTCAACCTCCTCTGGTGACCGTGTTCATAGACACACAGACGGGGGGCCAGGCTGAAGAACCCTTAATCAAGAACTGCAGGCCGTGATTCAGACAGAAGAGATACAGCTGCTTTTCAATAAACATTTAGAAAAGGAAGGGAGCTGGACAAGGTGGTGCAACCTGTAATCCTAGCACTTGGGAGGTGGAGGCGGGAGGATCCCAAGTTCAGGCCAGCCTGAGCTACACAGTGAGGCCCCCTCTCAAAATTCAAAACTATTTTTAACATCAAAAAATTGGAAACGGCTGGGTATGCAGCTCAGGGGCAGAGCATCTTTTGAGCATGTGGGAGGCCCAGGGTTCCATTCCCCAGCACTGAAAACCAAATCAAGCCAGGGTCTCCTCCCAGATCAGCCCCCTAGGAAGTTCTGGAAGTGGCGCCAGGCAGGGGACATTCCCGAGCTCAGGCTCTTGGGTGCCGTGGTTCAAACACCAGGTGTCCCCCAGACTCACGCCACAGGCACGATGCACACTGCAGCAGTGCTGGGAGGTGATCAGACTGCGGGAACGCCAGCCTCATCCGTGACGACCAGTGGTGAGCGCACAGCCGAGTGGGCGTGGCCCTGGGGACCCCAGCGGGCCTCTGGGCCCTTCCTCTGGGCTGATGGCCCTGAGGCCAGCAGTGTTCCTCCACCCTGATGTCCCCACCTCGGGGCCAGCTCCCTGGCACTGGCTCTGGCCAGGTAGGTGACAAAGGCTGAGACCTTCTTTTCATGGCCCTGTCCTACAGGGGACAGCAGGTGACATTTCTGTCTCTGAACTGCCAGGAGATGCAGGCAGGCACTCTCCAACTACTGTGGCCAAAGAAATCCCCTCCTGTCCTGTGTCCCCCACCCCCTACACTCCTGTCACACCCTGCGGTGGACCACGGAGTGGCTGGAGCACGGAGCCCTGGACCAGGGTGCAGATTAGACCGGGGTTCGGACCCAAGGCCACCAGCACTGCAGGAGGAGGGCAGCTGGGGAGAGGAGACAGCGGTAAGGCCCAGAGGTGGAGGAAGGCAGAGCCTGCCCACAGCAGGACACAGAGCTGGGCCCTGGGCAGCACAGACGGTCTGGGGAGGATGAACCTAATGTTCAGGTTTATGTTTAATCTTTAGACAGTGTCTTGCCAAGTTGCCTAAGCTGGCCTCGAGCTATCAATCCTCCTGCTTCAGCCTCCTTAGTGCTGGGATTACAGTATGCACCACCACAGTTGTCTTTATCCCATTTGATGCTCTTGTAAGTGAAAAGTTTTAGCCTGCTCATGGTTAGTGTATAGGAGTGTAACTGAGTTTTGCGGGTGGGCTTTGTACCCTGTAAGTTTGTTATTAGCTCTCACGTTTTTTTTTTTTTTTTTGCAGTCCTGGGAATGGATCCCAGGGGCCCATGCATGCTAGGCAAGTGCTCTGCAGCTGAGCTACATTCCCAGACCCTCAGTGGGTTCCACGTAAGGGATCGTGTCATGTGTGAAAGATACACTGACCTCTTCCTTTCCGTCTGGATACCTTTGCTTTATTTGTCTAACTGTTCCTTCTAGAACACGTAGTATTATGTTGAAAGGAGGTGGCAAAGCAAGTATCCCTGCCTTTCTCCTGATCCTATGGTGGAGTTTTCATCAACATTAAGATGTTAGTGCTGAAGCCAGGCATGGTTTGCATGCCTGTAATTCCAGCACCAGACAGGCTGAGGCAAGAAGATCACAAGTTGATGACCAATCTGGGCTATGCAGTGAGTTCAAGACCAGCCTGGAATACATAGTGAGAACTTGCCTCAAAAAAAAGGTGGGGAGTTAGCTTTGAGGAATATATAAAGTTACACACACATATATTAAATCTATTTGAGACAGGATCTCATTATGCACTTCAGGCTAGCCTTGAACTCACTTTGTAGTCCAGGTTGGCATCGAACTCACAGCAATGCTCCTGCCTCAGCCTCCCGAGTGTTGGGATTACAGGTGTGAGCCACCACGCCCAACTAGTGTATCCTTTATGTCCAGGACATTTCCTTTGATCATAAGCCTGTTCAGTTCTGTCAAATGGCTTTCCTGCATCCAGTAAGAGCACATTTTTCTTTTCTGTGAACGCGACGGGTCTTGCTGTGTGGCGCCACCTGGGGTCTCAGCAGCAGATGCCCTTGGCTGGCTGGAGGATGCTGCAGCAGCTCCCTTAGAGCTCTGAGACCCAGTGATCTAACAGTTTGGTGCTCTCCCCAGTAACCTCAGTCCCAACCAGGGGCCTAAAGGGGCTGGGCCCTTCGCTGGGCTCCAGCCAACCTAGGCATCCCCAGAGTACTCGGCAACAGGGCCGAAGAGGCCGTTTGCCGCAGCGAGGTGGGAGGTCTGCCATGGCCAGGAACAGCCCCTGCCTCTGTGGGAGGTGGAATGGGCTGCAGGCTGGCTGACCCCCAGCTGCCCTCCCTTTTCCAGCATCTTCCAACTGGTCTGAAGCTCAGGAGAGGGAGAGGGAGTCACGGAAGCAGGGAGCAGTCCCGCTGGCACTCGGCCTGGCCTCCACCCAGGCTTCCCCAGCTGTGCTCAGACCCCAGGGGGCTATTTTCCCTATGGATTCCAGTCCAGTGTCCAACTTGCAGCAATCCTCCTGCCTCAGCTTCCCGAGTGGTGGCTGTGAGCTGGCTTTCTAATCCAGGAGCCAGGGGGCCAAGGTTCAGCTCCTCCATGAGCCACCGGCAGGAAATACTCAGGAAGGGAATCGCAGGGTGGGGGTTCTCCTCTAGGTTTCTCACAGAGAAGCCAGAAGCTTGGACTTGGGGCTCTACCTTCCAATTTGGGATTGTGCGCGGGGAAAGTGGGTCACACAAGATGCAGAGTGGGCTGTGCCTTCTGCCTCTAGAAGGGCCTTGTACTCCTGAGATTCGTTTAGACCAGTGAAACACTAGCTACATACCAAAATGCCTTGCAGATTTTTCTTTCTTCCTGGTAGTGGAGATTGAACCCAAGCCCTTCTGACAGAGCTACCTCCTGAGCCCATTATTTTTTAATTTCGGGATGTGTTATTTGCACTGGCTGAGGCTCCAAGTCCTGGGGTCAAGTGATGCTTCTATCTCAGCCTCTCAAGTAGCAGGGACTACAACGTGTACCATACGACCAGGGAAGTTTTGTTTTTTTTTTTGAGAGGGTATCACTATGCAATTCAGGCTAGCTTTGGACTCAAGTGTATAGCCCAGTGGGCCCAGGCTGGCCTGAAACTTGTGGTGATCCTCCTGCCTCCACCTCCTGGGTACTAGGATTACGGTGTGCACCACTGCACTTGGCTAAAATGGTTTTTTTCAAAGACACAACTAAGAACCTGAGTAGTGGTCACATCCAGGAAGAACTCAAGGGCTAGGCCAGCAGGCATGCCCACAAACGCTAGACAGACCCACTGGATGACCCATCAGCGCTTGCCTGAAGTCGTTCAGTGGCATCTATTCAGGTCCAGCTGGCGGCTGACACACACTGAGGTCAGAAGCTTTGCTGCTCAGTCTTCCTGTCACGTGACACGAGTGTTAGCCACGCAATCGGGTGACAGTGACACCCACAGGCAGGGCATGGCCCCAGCCACCAGCAGTTTGTGCCGCTCCTCCAAAGGTAAGACACTGGCCCCACTCAGGGTCCTCACACCCAGTCTGGGGTTAGAAACTGCCCTGAACACCTGAGGACAGGCACCAAAAGGTGCCCCTGGAGCCTGGTGCCAGGGCCCCAAGTGTTGGAGAGCCGAGGGTCTGCAGAAGGAAGGACAGGGCAGAGGCTGCGTGCTTTGTTCTTGTTACATTTTATTGGCATCGCGTTCATCTCTTTACAGGAGAACTCAGCCTACACCTAGCACGGAGACCTCTGGCGAGGCGCGCTCCGGCCAGGGCTCCAGGCGGGCCCAGGGCGGGGACAGAGAGGGACTAGAGGAAGACTGCAGGGACTGCCTTCTAGGATGGAGGGAGGACACCGGGACAGATGGCTGGGCCTTGCCTGGTCCTTGCCTCGGACAGGGGAGGCTGATCTAACAGGAGTTCTGGTGTGAAGCTGGGAGGTGGGGGTGGAGAACTGAAAAGGGAGTGGGTTCAGTTCTGGAGATAACAGCCAGGGGTCCATTGCACACACCGCAGGATTATGCAAATCAACCAGGCAGCTCCCCTGGAGGTGCAAGCTTTCCGGCTCAAATCTCTGAGAAGAGGCGCACGTTGCTCGGGTCTGCTGTACACAATACTGCCGATCGCTGGATGTTGCATCTGGGTTGCCAACCCTGCCATCCGGGCGGGGTCCAACCCTCCGCCTTCCACGCCTGTCACAGGACTT